GAGAGAGAGAGAGAGAGAGAGGAGGGGTGGCGGGGGCGTGGGTGACAGAAAGACAGACAGACAAGGAAGACAGAAATGAAAGGAAGGGGTAAATGCTGTAAACAGAAGTAGCGTTGGTAATTCCCACATCACCATATTGGGCCTACATTTCATATCAGTGAGACAAAATAAATCCAGTGGGTGGTTGGTGGATGCTCTGGTGTGGTTTTTCCTTCTTTCCTATCACACATCTACATGTATACACATCTTCCTATAAATAAAGAAATATTTTATTTTCCTTGTACATGTACGTAAATCGTATTGTTACTCCCTGGTAACACCTCTAGTCTTCGGTACTCTGGCTTATACGTACATGATATATTTAAATAATATGACTTATTCATATATTATGTTGCAAGTGTTGTAAAACTCTTACACTAAAACGAAAGAATAACTCGAACCTCAGGCATTCTGTGGTTCTTGAGACCAAAAAGACCACCAGTTCCCAGTACAGGGAGGGCGGGGGCGAATAAATAACATTCCACATACATTTGTACATCCCTCGAAGCAGCGAAGGGGCTAAGAAAAGAATACACAGAAGGAAGTTCACAACCAGCCATCACCTACGCAAGCAATGTCCTATTTTTGGTTCAGAAATCGACGCCACGAAGAACGGCAGTGCAGAAATTCCAACAGTCGCTACGCAACACTGAAAAACGAAATCAATAATAAGTAGGCGAAGTTACGCAATACGTCAACACACAGCCTTTGACAGAATGCTGCGACTCTTTGTTGTTTGGTGACGAAAAAAAGGGGGGAGTTTGAGTTTGAGAGACACAGACGGGTTTGTCCGAGTGCTGAGGACCGATTGCGACATGAATCGAGTCCGAGAGCAAAGTTGTCGAAAAAGCGTTTCGCGATATTATTGTGACGAAGCTTTATGATGATGAAAAAGATGACTGCTGTTTTGTGACGAGGAAGTCTCTGTTGAAGTTGAAAACAAAGATGTCATTATCATGAGGTCTTGAGAAGTCGTGTGAATGTGTGTATATAGTGTGAGCTAGTCTCCCCCCCCCC